AAAAGCAAAATAAGAAAAAAAATGTTTTGACAGCCAACAGGAAAAGAAAGATGAAAAAAGACAAGAGAAAAGGTTATGTTTTTTATCCTTAATTTAAAAAACTACGACATAGAGGAGAGGAAAAAAAGAAGAGTGAGTAAAAGGAGGATGAAGGTGAGAAGAAGGTAGTGATGGAGGAGATTTAAAGGGAAACTTTGGTGGTGATGAAGATGAGGGGACCTCTCCGAAAATAATCTCTCTATATATACAGTATAGTGTGGGTGTCCCTGCTGGCAACCATGATGAGCCTTGGTCAGTCACGAGCTGGTTGCAGCAGCAGGGGGTGCTCACGGCTACTACACACACAATCCTTTCATTCAACGTAAACTATTTTAATTATTCAGATAACATGTATATTTCTATCTGTACAAACCACTGTATGAGATGCTGCCACCTAGTGACTGGAGGCTTCAACCGTGTCGTGGGACTTTCCCCCTCACTGTGATGTCACTTTGATACGTGAAATGTAACGTGGATGTGCGGTTGTCGTGGTTACCCACCTGAACATCTCAGTTAGCTCTCCTTTGAACATAGCCACTAGGACTGGAAAACCAATGCATGCTGGGACCAGGTACAGGAGCGCAGGCTGGGGAGAGACGACGGAGAAGATGAAAAGTCAAACTTTATGACTCTTTACGAGGGAGCAGTCAAAGCATCATGGGAACATTATCGTTCAGTAACAATTGCTGTATTGTCTGTAAGAACCAGGAATGGCTCAGGATTGGTATCGATCCGATATTGGTCCGAATTTCAGAAGCGAATTTGAAGATGGTGACTTTCTTACCGACGTAAGAAAGGAAAATATAAGATATGTGAGCATCTTTTTTTTTTTTCCCCCCACACATTCAGAAACCCAGAATACCTGTGCGTGCTTGAAGGTGTGCATGACGAAGATGGTGAGGCCCAGTCCAAAGATGTAGGCAAGGAAGCTGGAGTAGAAATACGTTCTGCTGTTCTTCTTCAGACTGCAGGGGGGGAAAAGATTCAAAACGTTATTCTTCCGCACTGCGATCCAACAGGAGACAGGGCGGGGGCAGGAGCACGGACCTGACGTCGAAACGCAGAAGCAAAGCGATGAAGATCCCTGGGATGACGATGTCTCCCAGACCCAGCATGGCGAAGTTGTTTGCCTGAAGGCCTTTCTCCAGCAAGTCCTGAGGAAACACCACTGAGAGACAGACACACAAAAAAAAAAAACCAAATCAGGTATAGGTCATACTTGAATCACTTTAAATATTTTCAGATTTCGTTACATTTTTAGTTGTTAAACTGAAGCAAAAACATTTCACGTTGAGTACGCAAAACATGCGTAACACTTACATTTGATTGGTGCTTCAAACGACTTGGCGACCGTTACCATGACGTTAGTCCCGAACACCTGTGAACGGGCAGATTATCTCTTCAGTAACTCTCAATAATTGATCAGCAATCTTTTTCTCCTTTTTCTTTCTAACCAGTAGGCTCACCCAGAACACGTCGTAGACAAACAGCCCCCCCAGCAGGATGCAGCCGGTACTGACGTTGTTTAGGTGGAGCAGCTCTACTCCGTTCAGAGCAAACGCCAGACCAAACAGGTTATTGGCTATCCAGTGCTGTAAAAATAAAAAAAAAGGCAGTGACGTCATTAGAACCCAAACATGTTATTGGCCTGATTATCCTGCAGTTTCAATGAGGTTGAATATGGCTGCGGGTCCTCACTTTCTTCAGCAGGTACCAGACTCCGACCACACTGCTGATGAGCAGACAGACCAGGTTCTTGCTGTCAAACTCGTAGTTCACGATATCTGCGGGTAGAAATCAGAAAGAGGGGTTCAAAGATTCTGTTCTGGTATTCCAGATGCACAGTGATGATGCAGAAAAAAAAAAGACACACTGATGTGGTCTTGTCCCACCTTCTTTGGACTCCCCTGAGCCCTGAGTGAAGAGCAGCTGGTACTGCTTGTTCGGAAACGAAGCAGGAAAGATTCTGGACACCAGAGGACTGAGAGACAGAGAGGAAAGGGAAACGTCAGCACAGGACATTTTTATTGTGATTAATTTTGAATGGAAAAAAATGCCTTGTCAAAATTATTTTGAAGAGTAAAACGTATGAGTAGGATAAGACAAGAGCAGACGGAAGTGCTAGTAGAAAAGTCATGAATGGGTGTGCGCACATCCTCACCTCATGGTGTGCGACAGAGACAGGACGCCCAGAGCAAAGAAGTAGACCGACAGAAGCAGGTTGATGTACTCTTGAGAAAACACCTGTAACGTGAGAGGACACATTTTATAAAGGTCATTCGAATGAGGAAAATTCTACCTGTGATCAGTCGGCGGTACCTCGCAATCCACTTTACAATCGTCTCTGCCAGCTGTAGACTTACTTACTTACTGCCCTGCGCTTTGTCAGGCTGGACATAAGTCTATATCTCACCTGGATTTACGCCTCCCAATTCCCCACCCCTTTGAAAAATCATGCCAAAATGACACCCATATTACACACATACATACATACAGTGGTCCCTTGTCTATCGCAGGGGTTATTACATTCCAAGACCACCCGCGATAGGCGAAAAACTGCGGTAGAGACGCAATAGTTAATAGTTATATACATATATATACACATATATATATATATTTACACATATATATACATATACATTTATACACATACAGTATATATACATATATATACACATATATACATATACATATACATATATACACATATATACACATACACATACACATGTATACACATATATCCATATACACATATGTATATTATATTTATATATATACTTACACAACACATATATATATATATATATTTAACCTGCATTTACTTAAAAATGTATTTATTAAAATGTCAGCTTTTGATTTTACAAATAACATATTTATTTGCACATCATCAATGGGAAAATTCCATTAAAAAAAAAAAAACCCCACTCCAAATCGCCATTTTCTATCTCGTGCACCCCACACTTTGGGAATCCCGGTAATAGACCAATGAGAAGTGGATGCTCTGTGGAATTATTGGATATAATGTGCATCAATCTGGCCAAATCTGGGTTAAAATGTGTAATGAATAAGCCATCTTAAAGCATTAATAAATCTCAGCCTACCTTGAAGAAGAGGTAGAGCCCAAACAGCGTACAGCTGGCGATGATGGGAAACCTCGCCGCATCTCGACTGGTGATGGTCTCTGGCATATCTGCTGCATTCTGGGAAAAAGAAAACCACATGGAAAACAATGACAGTCAGTGAGTGAAATAGATTCTAATGTTTGTTGTTTGTTTTTGTATTTTGACCTTGGGCAGTGATCAGTTTGTCACTGACGGTCAGGTCGGATGATGACACACTTTACTGCACCTTCTGTGTCACTGTCAAACAACAGTGGCAAATTTTTTTTTTTTTTTTTTTAACCAAAGCATTCCATTAACATTTCATTTTGACATAAAGGAATCATAATAATTTGCATGAAAATAGCATTCGTCCTGCTTTGAGGTAAGAAAAACAGTGACTAATTAATTAATTTGAATTTCACTGATCTCACATTTTGAGAAACTCTTGTGTTACCATCACATCTGCAGACCTGGGAATTGAACCCAGGACTTTCTGCTCTCTACTGGCAAGGCACGCACGCTAACCGCTACACTAGGGCTACCACTAGAAACCGGCTCAAACACAAGAGTTCAACCAAGGACAGTTGAACAGATATTGCTAAAATGGAGACAACTACATTTACTTTTACGTTTATGCCATTAGCAGATGCGTTTAGCCAAAGCGAAAGGTGAAACAATGAAAGTACGACGGGCTAAGACAAGAGCAAAATTATATCTGAACAGCTCCAAAGAATTATTACTTTTGCTTGAAACAAGAACCAACGGTGTTCCTCCCGTCTCCTGAGACACAAACTGGGACAGAGGAGGAGGTGACAAGAGAAAGTGGAGCCACCCGGAGGCTGAACGGTGAACGAGCTGATTACCGTATTCATATCAGTATCATTTCACCACAAACAATAATAAAAAAAAAAGATTAAAACAAAAACAACTAGAAGATCATCAGGAATGCAGAGATATGACTCTTTTTTTTTTTAAGCACCCAGCGCGATACGATTGAGAAATTAATATACTCTCTACCGACTGAAGGCGTCAGACTTGACTAACACATAAATTATCAAAAATAAAAATGTTTTTATTTATTGTTTATCATAAATGGAACAGCATTTAAATGAACTGGAAAATTCCTAATGTACCTATTCATTCATTATTTGCTGCTTAATTCTTTGTGGGGGAGCAAATGCCAACCTCAAATGCACGGCGTGCTTAATGGTGACACCTAACGTAGCATCTGTAAAGTGAAAGTGAATGACCTTTAACCCAGCACCTAACGCTCAGTGCACCTCAGCGGGGACACAAGTCCACTTCCTTACCCAGCAGGCCACCTCCGCCCTAAACACACGTACAGTTTGTAGCGCTGACGAAATTGGAGAAGGTGAACGTTTGGGTCGAAGCCGAAGATTAAAATAACAACTTTACAGAGAGCCGATGCTGCTTCTTCTTTTTGTCATTTCTTTTCTTCTTTTGTGCCACTGAAACAATACTGACCTACTTTAAACGTCTTTCCGCACTTTATCGTACACTCCTTGAATGAGCACAAATTTAATTAAAGAAAATTATAGAACAAAAACAACCTTCAATGTCAATTTTTAGTTGACATTTAAGACAACCGTAATTCACTCGCCAAGTTCTTTTCTGAACTAAACTGATAACTAACCGCACAAAAAGAGATTTTCTCACTACTAACACTGGCCTAATAAAGATATTTTTGGTGAAGAATAGATTGAGTGAAAACGTAAAAATAACGGGCAAATAAATTAAATGTAAATGTTGTCCCAGTTTGTTTTTTTGTTTTTTTTGTCAGTGAAGGTGGTGACATTAAGTGGCTGAAAAGCCCATCAGTCACGCGGTTCGCACGGAAATGGTCGGGGGAATGTGGGTGAGTGAGCGCGAGAGAGAGAGGAGTTATGAGTTATCAGTCATGAATATTACAGGTTGATTTGTTGTTTTGGCGTTGGCTCCTGGCTGATTAAATCTTTAGTCAAAAGCACTAAACGCAGCTAAAATGGGAGAATAATTAGATGCTAATATATTTAGAATTTAACAGTGTTTTTTCAACTCCTGCTATATTTTGGCTAACATTTTGTTGACCTTAGACCAGGGGTGTCAAACTCAGCCTGATTAGATGTCAAGTGGGCCGGACCAGTACAATCATAACATAATTACCTATAAATAACAACACGTCTGTCATGTTTCCCCCCTTTGCTTCATACAATTAAGTACAAGTATATTAGAAACTGCTCATATTTAATTAAAATAAGTTTGAAAAAACATCAACAACATGAAGCGTTTTTGTGCATTTTTTCCCACTTTTAAAATTCATCAAGCGGGCTGGATTGAGCTCCCTTCATCAAGCGGGCTGGATTGAACTCCCTTGCACATACGTGTCAAACTCAAGGCCCGGGGGCCAAATGCGGCCCGCCAAGCCGCAGAGTTTCTTAACCTAATTTTTACTCAAATTAGTAAAAATTAAGTACATATTTTCACTGTGTCCCGAGGGTCGAGGGTTGGGGACCCCTGGTTTATACAGTCTTCCAGTTACAACCGACCCTTCATGGGGAACTGTATTGATGATGTGGCCCCCTGGTGGTAATGAGTTTGACACCGCTGTCCTAGCAGGTCGGTTTTGGGCCACGGGCCATCTATCACCACCTTAGACTAACTAATCTTGTCATTACTTACACTCCTACTCTGACAAAAAATATCCTCCGGCTGCAATTTAGCTCATTCTTACTTATCTTTAACCTAAGTAAAAGCTTTGTGGCTAATCTTCAACAACTATCACAACTTGTTTTAGCTGGCTTGGCCAACTAATGACTACCTGTTGCTTCACTACACTTTCGTAATCCTTGTACGAATTGCATTTTTACACCGGTTTAGATTAGATCCAATTAGGATAGATTCGATTCGATTCGATTCGATTAATAGCTAGCTAGCTACGCTAGCTCTACTTTATTAATCTCAGGCTGGGGAACAGCGTGAGGCTGAATGATGAGGCAACAGCTGCGGCGGTTTCACACGAACAGTCAAACCCCCTGCCCTGACAGATCTGTGATGTGAAGCAGGTGTGTCTCTCATACTCACTCTGAAACCAGAGTCTTTATCATGTTCTCCGAGTTCCTACACACAGAGAGACAGACGGACATAAAAGCAGAGACCGACAGATGAACAGACAGAGAGAGAGACAGAGAGACAGACAGGGGCAGAGAGAGAAACAAAGGACAGAAGATCAGAACTGGTCAGATCACGGCCTAAATGTGGAGGACAGAGAGAGGACAGGAAAGAGGGCATGCAGAAGTAACCTGGGACATCACAGTTCACACTTGGGACAAAACTGTGGACCCCCTAGACTCAGTCCCAAAAAGACATTCACCTCTCATTTGGGAAGAGATCTGACACTTGATATTTGCAGTACGGGACAACTACTTTATGGAAGTAGACGTCAATCAAAAAAAAAATAGTACCAAAATTGATGGTGACATCAAGCGAATGTGTCAAAATCAAAAAACGCAACTGTAACAGGAACCGACTGCTAGCTGGAGTCACCGACATCACATTAATTCACAACAGACGAGACTCGTACTGTGAATGTAAGAAATGGAACACCTCAGCAGCAGGCACTTCAAGAGACACGGAACGAGCCTTTATCCAGCCCACGTCGATGCACAGGTCTTCTTACGCTCAAACAAGGATTATGAACGAAAACCGTGACCGAAACTATGACAAGGCAACACTGTTACTAGGACTAGACTAACATGCTTACATCTGCGTTTTTATTTCCCAATTGTTTTACAAGCATTATTTTATTTTATTTTTTTATTTGTTATTTCACCTTTTCACACAGACACATACAGTATATAAATATATTACATATATAAATATATATGAATATATATATTTACACATATACATATAGATATATATATAACTGAGTTTTATTAATGAATGAAAAAAAAAACTCAAATGAATTTTTGGTAAATTTTTGCAACATTAGTTTTTTTGTACCAAAATTTTACATAACCATGTTTTATTAATGAATGAAAAAAAAAACTCTCCAATGAATTTTTGGTAAATTTTTGAGACATTATTTTTTTTCGTACCAAAATTTTACATAACCATAAGTTCAATACCAAGGTTCGTACCGAAACATGGCTTTGCTGCTCCATTTCGCGACTAATAAATGATAATGTTATTAACATTGTCATGGTTCATGACATCACTAACAGCCATACAAGTAAACTTTCTGAGTCCTAAATAAAAACTTGTCTCTGTAATGTCCCTTTCTTTACATCATTGTTGTGCTAGTTATATATATAAAAAACAGACAATATTAATGACGTTATTTAAGTACTACATTCGTAGCTATGGCTACAAGGTGATAACATTTTTTTAAAAAAAAATTTTGTATAAAAGCCTACTGTGGCTTTGTGACAAAGGTCAAACAAAAATAAGTTTTTTGAGTATTTGCTTCCTGATGCAAACTACTGTCAAGAAGTTAGTTCCTGATACTGACTAGTTTTTTTGTACTACAATAGCTGTTGTCATCCTAAACGATAAAATGAATGCTCATAGATTAATTAATCAAAATTATATCATACAACGCAAAAAGGCAAGACAAAGCACACATTTTAAATACGAGCAGGAGCGACGTGTCCACCTATCGACAGGTAAAAAAAAAAAACACTTTTTGAGATATTCGTTTAGCGCCACGCGGATTTAATTGAGAGTTACCTTCGCATTTGCACCTTTTGTCGCATAGAAAATTTAATTAAAAAAAAAACCAAACAAACAGGTATTTTAACGAGCACGTTAGTTTCCGCCGTTCGTTGAGCGTTAGCCGTGGACAGCAAAGCGGCAACAAACAGTGTCGTGACACCCGGTTGCAGTGTCGCTCACCTTGGATTTGGAGCAGTCCACGGAACGCAGGGCTCCGAAGAAGATGGGCAGCAGCGCCATGAAGACCAGGCTGCCGTAAGCTAACGCTGTCCCCTCGGCTGTAGCCACGAACTTCGCCGTGGCGTTTAACGTTTCGGTGCCATTCGAGTCCGTGGCGTTCAGGGCTTCCAGCACTGCGGACACCGCGGCGGTGACGGCCTCAGGTGCTGAGTCCGGGGCTGTTCCTGCCTCAGACATACCTTTTTAGGACAGGGACTGGGTTTGAGAGCAAACAGACGTGAGGACCGAGAGGCTAATGGAAATATAGAACAGTAGGCTTTGTCATTCATCCGCACCACTGACGTTTGTATGACTCCTTCCGTGATGCTACTGAGGCTGTAAGGCCACGTTTCCTAAAGCAGAGAACACAAACGAAATAGAAGACAGGAGGTCTCACTGTACTGTGGTTTTTGCAAACAGCTGTAACAATTTAAATTATATTTTGCAGTACTAGGTTAATGTTCAAATGTACTTTCTCTTATTATTTGGTCTTTCTTCATTTATATTGTTAATTTGAACGTACATTATTTCTATTATTCCAAGCTTTATTTTGCAACTAAATCTCGGATATACCTGAAAAAAAAGCGGTTTAAAGTAAAGATGAGACATTTTCCCGGAATTATTTTTATTGAAATTATTGATTCTATTAATACTATTAATATGATACGCAAGTTGAATGTTGCAGGTTGTTTCCGGTTCATCGAAACCTTACGTTAAGAAGTAATGAAAAATAGGAACCAACCAGAACCATGCATTTGTTCGAGTCATTTTTAGCAGCAATAGACGATCTGTGTTTGACAAGGAGGTATTGCTTCTTCTTCTCTGACATAAGCGTGTAAATGACAGGAAAGCTCTACTATCGCCCCCTAAAGGAAGGAACTAAATATGAAACTGTTATGTAGTGTAAAGGGTACAGTAATTGGAAAACAGTAATTTTATGTTAATGTTAGAATTCTAAATAAAAGTCGAACAAATGTCAACAACAATGTCAACAATTAAAGAGTTGAGACTTAATTTGGACTATGGCTTGTAACTATGGCTTTTTGAGGTCAACTCTAAAGCTTAGAGACGCATGAAACAACTGTCCTTTTAAAAACGTTACATTTTTGTACATTGATTTTGGTCTTTAAATTCTGATAAAATCCCTTGTGTAAATGTGTAAGGATGTGACAAGATGGTAAAACTTGAAAGCAGTTTTTTCCCACTGTCTACAGGTTAAGATTTTATGGCATGATTTTTGTCAATCTTAAATATTGACCGTATTGATATATATAAGCATAAAATAAAATATTATTATAAATATGTAAAATTAAATACTGAATTAAAACATGATTCAAAATAAGCATTTTAAACAAATGTACTATGTTTTAATGATTATGAACAATAAAAACCTTATTCAACATTAACACGGAGATTTTCCACATATTTACAGAAGATTCTGTACAGGACGAACAGCGGGATGGACAAACAGAAAATAAAAATAATAAAAAGGATTTAAATTTTTGAAAAATCAAGAAATCATTCACCTTGTAAAAAAAACATGTTAAAAGTGATGTTAATTTAAGTTAATGTTCTGAACATACACGTATGTTGGTTGGAAGACCCAGTATCAAACTGACAAGTGCGTTATAAACAGTGACTCTTGACTGTGTCGTCGTGATGATGGTTAGATGTCCTCGTCACCTTTGGATGATGTCACTGATCGATGTAAAGGCATCAAAATGTTGATGGAAAGACGCTTTTGTTCTCAGCAGCTTTCGCTGACTTCACGTGACGTAGAACTCTAGATCACCTATCGGCTATCACAGAGACACAAAGCTCTGGGTGACAACAGAGATGCTTAGTAGGAGGCTCATGAGTGTCATGACCTGAGGCAGAGACGCACGGCTCCTCAGCGTCACCTCTATAGGGAAATGGTCACTAATCCTCGTTACCTGGAATAAAATAAGAAAACAGTTAGCTAACTAGTGAGAACTTCCTTTTATCAACCACTGTTTGGACTTATGGATATTGAAGCACAAAATTCCAAACAAATTCTGGTGAATGACCATTAGATGGCAGCATTTCTCACAGACCAAACATGTTTAAAATGCAGAGAAACTTACATCGCTTTTGCTGATTTTCAGCTGTTTTCCAAAGTTGTACACCTGAGCTGAGAATGGAGTAATGGCCTTCAGGAAGGTTTTGCCGTGCACCACGATCCTTAACACGCACAGAATCACAATCACAAACAAACACACAAAGCAGAAAATAAACAGTTTATTTGAATTATATATTCCACTCTTAGTTTCAAGCCCGCCCCCCAGCTCTTTTTGCAACCCCTTTTGCTGTGGAAATGACAAAAAAAAAAAACTTTAAATAATGTGTTAATGCCCTGCCATTGATAAGAGCCTTCATATTGAAAACAGTAGATTTAAAAATACTTTTTACTGTGCATGTAAATTTGTACAATACTACATGGATGGAAGAACAACGGAATCGATTTTTGACCTAGATTTTTAGGTCATACATGCAATAAATGACAAATTAAAAAAAACAAAACAAAAAAAAAAAACAATAATTTATCAACGTCACAAACCAAGCTAACGTTTGTAGCATGGCCAGAACATTGGTTGCACACACCTGTCATAAGGACAGTTGGTTTTGTCAGTGACTGTTGTGTCCACTTTGTCTCCTATCAACCATGAGAAACTGGTGTTGGAGAAGAGCTGGATGTTTTTCTTGTCGCTTCGTGTCATGTAGGCGCAGCCGGCGTGGAAATCACCCAGGAACATTACATTCTGCGCACACACACACACACACACACACACACATAGAGAACGACATGGAAACACAGTAAATGTAAACCTGGACTTAAGTTCATACGACGTATCATAATCACCTAGAAATAACAATAAGTCCATGTTTCAACCCTTAGTAGTATATTAGAAAATATTCATATTTATTTTTTTAAATAAAGTATATAAATAATAATAAATAATTAAAATAATAAATTATTTAATTAAAAAAAAAACATCAACATGAAAATTTTTTTCACGTTCCAAAATTCATCAAGCGGGGCGGTTTTGGCCTGCGAGCCACATGTTTGACACCCCTGCTTTAATGCCTTAGATGGACATACAGACAGGTTTTCTCACCTTGTTGTCCCACTTCTTGATAACCTCCAGAAATACATCGTGGAGTTGGTTCATCTCCGTCACTGCCTGAGGGGGCTCCGAGTGAAGAGCGATGAGAACAAAGGAGTTGATTTCTGCGGAAGGAGGGGCAGGGAGGAAAAATAAAAATATATATATAAGAAAACAATGACAGAAGAAGAGAATGCAAGAAGAAGAGGATAAAAAAAAAAAAAGAATGCAAGAAGAAGAGGATAAAAAAATAATAAATAATTTCAGGCTGCACAGAAAATAGACCAGACTTTGTAAAGTCCAACGCTGGTCTCTGTGTTCTCAGATTTTTTCAGTCACTTGAAATCTTGGCATTTCTGGGTCTGTCTTAACTTAAGACTTTTTGTCGACCTTGACTTGGTCCTAACTCTTGCTCATAGTTCACCTTAGCCATGTCGGTTTCACTCCGGTGATAATATATGTTTGTTCTGGTCTTGGTAAACTTCAGTCTCTCTCTGTAAATCAAACGCAAGAGAAATGGATTCACTAACTGGTTCTACTGCTTTGGAACTGGACAGCGAATGGGTCCCTGGTGAAGACTTGTGGTTCACTCTGGTACTGATACTGTCCCGTCTCATTCACCGTCTGTGTCCTGATTGGTCAACAAGAAAAGAGACAGAGCGTTAATAGAATAGGTGTTCAACCAGAATCCAATCAGGTCTACAAAACAAACAAATTGTGATCAGGGTCTCACCTGTAGATGAAGACGTACTGCTGCATGTCGGTCGGAGATCTCCCCAAAGGTTTACTAGACACAGACTTGTAGGTGAAGCCCTCATACCTTCGCACAAACATACACACAACCATGGTGACTGAAACGGCAGCACTCACGACGATACACAACAACAGATGTGTCGAGTCCAGGTTTATCCAGGATCAAAACAAATGTGTCAACAACAATAGACTCTTTCAAATGTGTGGGATTAACAGTAGCTTATGTGGAATGATAGAACATTAACTGTTAAAAACTCTTGATTTTGGACATTGGTCATTGTGTTTGCTACTAAATTCATTTAACCGCTGCGGACATCTAACCCACCCAATTGTGTCACTTGGGTCATTTCACCCCAATAGAACAGTAATCCCCAACCACTCTGCCGTGAGAGATCATTAGGTGTGCCAGAAAAAAATGATCTAATTTCACTATTATTTATTTATTGGATATATATTTTCTTTGCTCGTCAAAGCATGAAAGGAAGAACAATTCAATCCTCTTCTGCTAGGTGGCAGCAGATGGCACTGAAAACTAAAACAAACAAAAAAAAAGATAATCAGAGATGTTGAAGAAGATCTTTGTGAGTGTCTTTCTTCAATTCCTGCCGGTATATCAGCGTTGTCTTCAACTAAACAGGTCGGGATTTTAGTCAATTATGAGCTCATTTAAACTAGAAGGTTATAATATTTCATTACATATACTTTTTGTGAGATGTTTATTCGGTGGTGTGCAGAGGGGTTTTTCCTGATGAATGGTTGGTAAACACTGCAATAGAATTTAAAGAAATGCACTCCCACCGCTGCCACAGTCCCTACTCAGTTCCCATTAAAACAAATGGTGTACAAACCAGATTCAGCAGCAACAGTCACAGGTGAATGAGATTTTCCACTTACAAACAGTTATTCAGTCAGAGGAACATTTTAGATGAAAGCTGGTTATTCAGTAACTCACAGATCTGGATCAACCACCACCACCACCACCACCACCACAGGGAAAGGTAATCATTCACCAGAAGATGACGCGTATCGGTGGAGAGGAAGCAGCAGCTGAGTAAAGCAAAACTTCAGAGCATAGAAACCTCGCTTCAGTCGGGTTAAATTGGGTCAATTTCAAGTCCAATGTAAATTAAGATTGCAATGTCTTAAGATTGCCAATTTCAAGTCCAATGTAAATTAAGATGGTAATGTCGGTGAACAAACAACTATGATCATCAGTGGAATGAGTGTAAAAATATACAAATACCATCAAAATGATGAGAGAACATGCACTGTATAAGTCGCACCAGCCAAAAAATGGATCAGGATCAGGATATCAACTAAGACAGATGACATGTAAAATGCATAAATGCTAAAATGCTTTTAGCTTTTTGTATGCCATCTATTGGGGAAATGCAGGTACTGCAGGGAAAAGGCAGAAGTATAATGATAGAAATCAATGACATAATTTAGACAACTTCGACAGGCCGGATTAAAAAGCTAACCGGGTAAGCTACAGAGTTATCAGGTAAATCTTGAGATTACTGGCCTAAACTGTTGCTGGTCAGTGTGTATGGAATAGACCAGTTCAGGTTTGAACGTGGCATGGTGCAGTACTATTAACAGGTACGTACAGCAGAGGTGGAAAGTAATGAATTACATTTAGTCAAGTTACTGTAATTGAGTAGATTTTGTGAGTAATTTTGGTGATTTAAGTAGTTTTGGGAATAGGTCATTTTACTGTTACTTAAGTTCCTTTTTGTATTTTGTACTGCAGGGAAAAGGCAGAAGTATAATGATAGAAATCAATGACATAATTTAGACAACTTCGACAGGCCGGATTAAAAAGCTAACCGGGTAAGCTACAGAGTTATCAGGTAAATCTTGAGATTACTGGCCTAAACTGTTGCTGGTCAGTGTGTATGGAATAGACCAGTTCAGGTTTGAACGTGGCATGGTGCAGTACTATTAACAGGTACGTACAGCAGAGGTGGAAAGTAATGAATTACATTTAGTCAAGTTACTGTAATTGAGTAGATTTTGTGAGTAATTTTGGTGATTTAAGTAGTTTTGGGAATAGGTCATTTTACTATTACTTAAGTTCCTTTTTGTATTTTAGGATTTTACTTCGCTACATTGGAAAAGAATCAGTTACTGAGTAAAAAATTAAATACAGAGAGAAAAAAAAAAAAATCTGCATTAACTGAAAAAAATTCCGTTGGCGTGCGTGCGGATTTCCCACTATGTTAATGTAGCCAGATAACATTGACTGGGAGACAGGCTCTAATCTGTTATTGGATGATGGCTGTTGATGAACAAAAAAAAAAATGGAGGATTGCTAAGCATTACTCAAAGTAATTTTATTTTTTTCCCCTGGAGGATTGCTAAGCATTACTCAAAGTCATTTTAATTTTTTTTTCTACTTTTACTCAAGTAATGAGCAATGTAATGGAATTTAAAATGTAAAAACATGTTTATCCAAAAACTATTTCTGTGATAATTCTGTAAAAAAAAAAGTGGAGCATTAACAATGTTTAAACAAGAAACAGTCAAATGTACATTTTTCAACATTAAAGATGAGCAAAAAGACCAGTCTCCTTTTTAGTACAACTTTGGATAGATTAAAAAGAAAAACCTGTATCACATGCATTAAAACATTTAGTATTTTGTTAAAGGCTTAGAAATAACTAAAAAAAAACCTATTAGCACTGACGTTAAAAGGAGATTTGTTGCTAACACATTAGAACCCAATTTAACCCTTCGATTAAGAAAAAAAAAGCCTGCGCGACTTTATCTTAGAATGTTTGACTCTCAACAGGTCTGGTGTGACGCGACGACAGCAAGAGGACAGAACCAGGGATGTCCGATATTAACTTTTTGTCCATATCCGATACACCGACATTGTCCAACCACTTATACCGGTCCGATACTATTGGACAAAAGTTAATATCGGACATCCCTAGTTATTTGTTCACACTGCCGGCTCACCGTTGCAAAGGACGGATTACGAAATGTTGCTTCTGAGTTACGCCGATTATTTCGTCGCGCTTATCTCAGCAATTATTTTGGCTACATCGCATATATTTTTGCTGTGCTTAATATGGAACCCAACCATGCGACTCCAATGGATAAAACAAGAGAAAATACCACCACCACCAACACACAACAAAAGGTAGGCAACTAAGCTTAGGAAGAATAGGAATTAGAGCTACTGTAGACTGAAGCGGGGAAACTCGTAAACCTGTCCGCTTCCCTCGAATAGTCTGACTGATGTGGACAGACAACCTGGAAGTTTCTCTAATCATGTACATGAGGGACAATGTGCATGTCCGATAATATCGGCCGACCAATATAATCAGACATATTAGCATCATTTTCCACCTCTGGTGCGCAATAGGTAGAGAACGGTTGGTTGGACGGGCGACAGATGAACTTAATCTCTTAATCCAACGTTCAGAACAAGCATCTGGAACTCCCGAAATACCAAAGCCAACCTTTGAAGATATTCCATCTCCATTCAAAATCCTGCAACAACACATCCTGACACAAACTTTCTGTCTGCTTGCTTTTCTCCCCCTCCCCCCCTGACGAAGCACTTAAAATCTCTACAGTATTGTCTCTGTTGAGAGTCAGACTATTGTAAAATAAAGGGTTACTTTTTAAACGTAAGAATTAGTAAAGACGATTTGATTAGGATTAGGATGACGTTCTATATTAAAATCCACTGTACCTTTCCGATTCCCTGTTGGAGGCAGAAACAGACACATGAATAGTAACGGTGTTAATGTTAACGTGGAGTTAGTCTTCCTTTGTGTGTGCATGTGTGCTACAGAGGACTGGGGGCAGTACATTTTATGGTACCTGTTGATGGATGTCAACAGTTTCTTGATGGCTGAGCCGTCAGGGTCAACGACGTGCTGCAGGAGACAGATGTCGCAACGATACACGACCTGCATAAACACACACACACACACAAACAGGCAAAAACACACAATTAGTGCACTATATGAAACGACTTTTACACAGTGCACTACATAGTTCCACTAAAATGTTAGCAGTCAGCAAGAACTATAACTGTTCTTTATTTGAGCAACTTAAATCTTCACACCAAAACCAAGTAGTTACTAAGAGTTACTTCAAGGGCACTTCAAGGGCTACCTGTTTGATACAGACTTCCTGAAGAATGTAATAATAACATTTTAGAACATACCTCCACGGGAAACTTGGGTAGTCCTCGGGGGCTACCAGGTGGCCCCTGGGCACCACGTTGGTGACCCCTGACTTAGAAAGTTAAAGTTTGTTGTGTGTGTGTGTGTCTTACCCGTGTTAAAGTGTGTAACACTTTGTAGTTTGAAGATTTCTGCTTATCAAATTTTTGCACATTGTACGCGCAGATCCTGAAGTCCGGCGATCTCTTTCCAACAGAAAGGGTGAGGAGCGAGAAAAAAAGCAGGAGGAGGTGAGGAAGGTGAGATGAGCCGCACTCCATGGCAAAATCTGTGCATGAGACAATATTTGATTTAACAGAGATACAACTTTTATAAAACCTGACAGATCACATTTGGATTAGGGATGTCCGATATTAACTTTTCGCCAATATCTGATATGTTGATGTTGTAAAAAACACTTTATTTCCGATATCAACAAAAAGATTAATGAAATGAGCTGCAATGCTGCCATCTAGTGACTGGAGACCTGTTTCGCACATGTTGGGAAGCACTGATTGATGGTTAAAGGCAGAGGACATAATTCATTATGTGCAGTGGTGTGCTGCGCATCAGTGAAAATAATGTACTTTCACATTGACCTACAGCCGTTTTAGGGCAGACAACATCTGGCGAGACGCAACCATTGCGTTATTAACACCTCAAGTTCTGCCTTGCTCACACTGGTGAATTTAAAAATAAACACTGACAAAAAGAAGTGATCCCTGTCCTCAGATCAGGTGTTAACAGATTTCAATAAATGTTTAAGCAGGAAAATCTTTTTTTTTTTTTTTAAATCATTAACTTCATTCTTTGTTCTGGATCTCAAGCAGATTTATGTGGAAAAACAAAATAAGCAAAGTCGACAGCAGTAAAAGAATGAAGAGAGGACGGAGAAGAGGTTCAACAGGTCCTGGTGAGGGACTAACGTGTTCAGACCTGCTTTGAATTCAGCAGGAATTTACTGTGACCAGGAGGTTATCTGTATACGCGTGTCACAGAAACAAGCTCCTGATTTAACAACACGACACCTGCAAAAGTAAAACTCATTTTAAGCAAATACACATAAAATTAAGTTAAATGCTAAAGCTAGCTTAAGTTAGCTTGGAGTATAATTCATTAAAAAAAAGTGACAGGAATGACGACGTCACCAACATTAGAGAAGCTGATTTGACTTCCATGTAGCCGGTATTTTTGTTGTTAGCCTCTGCTTGCCGGCAGTAGTACTGCACAGAGTTAGTTTGCGGTAGCTTGAAAAATGTAAAATATTTTTTAAGTACTGGCTTACATTAGGTTTCCCCAGTGATGTTGCCCATGATGACACACACACTGGCGTTTGTCTGTCCAGCCTGTATCTATGTTAGCTTTTTGCTCGTCCCTGTGAGACAGCAGCAGTTGGACCAGTTGGCCCAGTGACTTAGCTTCAAACATGACACTCCCTCTTACCGCCATTTTGAAAAACAAACTTACATTATGTGACAAAAAATGTGTACTTATGAACGTATCGTGTAGTGCAGTTGGCCTACAGAACGTCGGTCTTATAGAAACAGTTTGACTACGCTGACGCACATTCCAGAGAACAATTGGTGGTGTTTGGTTTCACATTATAAAACGGATTGTATCCGAAGTGGATATACAGAAGAATGAACATTTGAATAGAAAAGCAACGGCGCTACAACAAAACAATGATTTTAAAGGGGTCGAGATGGACTGTGGGATTTATTTTTCTTTTAGAAAGTTTTAAAAAATAAATGAAATTAAAGGACTACTTTAACAACGC